TTTTACTCCACATCATTATGGCTGACTCTATACTTTTAAGAAGGCAGCTCTTCCTCAGTCATATTCTGAGTGCCTTCTGACCTGAGGTGCTCATGTTCTGTAATCAAATCTGAAACTATTCCATGATTATGCAAAAGATTTCCGCGGCTAATTCCTCAGAAGTGGGCAGTCTATTCCTTCTTGGGAATCTGTTCTTAGTCTGGAAGCTCTACTGAAACCTGCTAATTTTGGGTGACCCTGCTTGTTTTTGAAATACCTGTTACATAGATTCCAGCATCACAGCAAAATGCAGGCTGCCACAATATGACAAATTGACAAGGGATGACGTCTGTGGGTAGGTGAAACAATTCATTGCAACGGCCACACAGAATTCACAGCCAACATTTGAGATCAAAGAGTTTATTTAGGAAATTAATAGGTTGTAACTCATGTGAAAAATGCTCAGGACATAGGTGTTCTATCAGGACAATGTCTTCCCTTCCGGGTGCCACAGGCAGGCCTCTCTCTGGTTCTCAGAACGCTTGGCTTGGCCTCTGCCCTATTCAGACAGTGTTACAGGCATCTTTTGGGACTACTAATATATGCCCAAATGGTATAACACTTCACTATCAGCCTTAATTCAAAACCACCGAGCTTCAGCTCCCTGGGTCAGCAGACCTAGCCAGCCTCCTACCCAAAGTCATTCATCAAAAGACTTTATCAAGAATAAAAAGCCAACTTACAGACTAAGAAAATATTATCTGCAATCATATATCTTATAAGAATAGATTATCAAAAATATGTAAGTTCTACAACTTAATGAAAAAAAACACACAAAAGTAATTCAATCAAAAAATGTGTGGACATAAACAGACATTTCACCAAAGATAATATTAATAATAAGCAGCAACAAACACATGAAAAGATACCCATCGTCATTAGCCATTAGGGAGCAAATCAAAACTACGATGAGATACATCACACCCTAACTAGAAAAGATGAAAAAAAAACAACAACAACAGAAAGCAACAAGCACTGGTGGGAAGAGCTGACCTTTATCCATTACTGATGGGAATGTAAAATGATACAATCATT